CTTTAGGTAAGTTATTTGAGCTAGTACCTGAGTTCCTCATTTGTAAAATCAGAGCTTATAGTAGAAGTACTATTTATAGTATAATAATAAATTTATAATTAATATAAATATTTATATAGTACTTGGCACATAATAATCAGTAAATCTGAACTGCTATGATAAACTTCAAGACCTTCTTTCCAAACAGAAATGAAAAAAAAAATGCCATTTAATCTGTTGGATGTAAAACAAAACTTATTTTGAATTTGATTGTACAGTATTTTACTTTGTTTATGCTTATCTGCCTTGTATACTTCTTCCTGCTTATTCTTCCTTGATTGCTAATTTCATTATGTTAAGTTTTTCCTTAAATATCTCTTTCCTCCATTGCTTACTTGTCAGATCATGCCTAAATGTAAACACTTGGATTCAGAGGCTTCCTTCCAAATTCTTCTATTTACCTCCTGTAGCTCTGCATCAGGATTTGATAGCATATTTCTGTACAAGAACCACAAGTCTGGCTGTATAAGGAATAATTGGCATGTGTATGGGTCAGATAAATCAATTGGTTTAGTCCAGAGACAAAGACTATAGGGTTAGGTAGACATCATAATTCTTCATAGGCAAGCAGTGGAAAATAGAAAATAAAAGGTATCTAAGATGGAAAGATTGCATCACTTTTAAAAGAATACACCATTGTTCTGAGTTAGAAGGTATATGTTTTGAAGCCAGGAAATAGTGCAGCCTTATTTAACTTCGCTTTATAATTGATTCATGTATATATAAAATGATAGATAGAATTATTATTTCTGCATTTAACAAGTGTCTTTGCAGAACTGCTTGAGACATACTCTTTCCTTAGGGTTTTCTAAATTTTAATTTCAGGTGTTTTGTGTCCTCACTTTTTTGTGAACATAGCAACAATAAGTGGGAATAAATTAAGCAGATCTTTGTTACAGTGTTTGATCATTTTCTGATGAAACTTAGCTCTTAGTACTGTCAATATTAGGGAGAACCATTTATGCAAGAAGCAATAGTTAGCGTAGAAATGAATGAATAAGAATAGTTGTATCTATGACATGCTATTTTGTCATCTCCTGTATTAAAGTTGGTATTTCCTTACATTATGATTTTATGTCCATTGTAAGGTAACTTTAGTTCTTATTCAAGTAATGAACACATTCTGTGAAATGATAATGACTGCTTTTTAGTGTGTATCCTCTGTAGTTGTGATCATCACTACAGTTTTGTAAGCTAGACAGTAAGTGCATTTTATAGAGAAGATACTTGAGAGCTGTAATAATTCTTCCACAGGTCACAGCAAGTAATGTCAAGGCTGGTTTATGGCCTGGCTTAAAGGTCTTAATCTCACTCTGCCTCAGATATTTCAGTGGCACCTAAATAACTACAGAACAAGAAAAGGTCTCTGTGCAGGCCTCTTCTCAGTCAGTGTGGGCTTCATAACCTGCAGTAGAGCTGGAATTCTGGCACTGCCAGGATTAGAACTCCTTGCTCTGAAATGTTTGCTTTTTCCATACTATATCTTAATTATTTATAAAAAATATTTGTTTAAAATTTAATTTTATTCTTATATTTATTATGAAAGTAATGATTTATGATTTTGTCCCAATTCATAGGTTTGTGGGATTTTTTTAAAGTGCAGGACTGGTTGCAGTTGCACAGTACTACTGTCACCAAAGAAGAAGAAAGAAATCAGCAGTAACACTGAGAAAAATCACTTCTCTGAAATTCCTCCTTAACCACGGATAATAACTACCTTTCAGATGACTGTAAAGATTAAATACAATTATGTGTTTAAGAGTAGTGTCTGAAACTCAGTAGATACTCAGTAAATGGCTCTTACTGTTATATAAAGATAATACATTTATCAGCTTAACTAAAAATAAAGCGACTGTGTTACTATTAACATCATAGAAAAATGTGTTTTTTTCTAGAATAGTGAGTACATAGAGTAAGGCTAAAACTATAAAACTATACCTGACTTCCATGTAACTGACTCTACCATTTACGAAGACTTTTTATTCTTTATGAATAAAAAATTGGTTGGTGCCGATAGTTTCAGGACCAGTGGCCTACCTCCCAGGAGGACCAAATTAGCAGAGCTGTTTTCTTATATTTATTTACCAAGAATAGGTCTTACGTATTTTGAAATCTATTTGTGCATGTCACATATGATATTATAATCAACTAATTCATTTTAGTAATATGTAAGCTGATGAAATATAAATTCAAAAAGAGGTCTTTTTAAAAGTGTACAGTAATCTAAAGTGAATACTGTGGAAATACAACATAAAGGAAATACTTCATAAAAATCTCTTAAAATTCCTGCCTGAATTCTATGTGGATAAGATAAAGGCAGATGATTGGAAGAGATTTTGTGTGAATGCTGCATTTAATTTGGACTGCCAGTGTGCTTGACGTTACATTTGAAAAAGTAAACTGGAAATCTTATAGCATTTGAATAGTATAAAATGAGTAGTATAACGTGACATATTTTATTCATGAGAATACTCTAAACTTCAGTTAATAGAGCCATCCTTTGACTAATGGCAAAAGAGTAATAACATTGTGTATTTTATACTAAAATGATAAGGTAAATGGATTTTTTTCAATTCTCCACTATAGTTCTCTATTTTTTTTTTAAATAATAGTCTATTTTTACATTACTTTGTGCCGTTTTCATTTCAATTGTAATTCCCATGGGCTTCCCACTACCAGTTCACCTGTATGCCATCTCCATAGTCCAGTGCTCTCCCTGTCCCTATTTTTGATCCCATTCCCTACTCCACCCCCGTAAAATGTCTCTGGTATATAGTTGTTCATTATTATTATTTTCTCCTCTGGTCCTTTGTACTTCTGCTATGAGTGACACCATCTGGCATTTTTCCTTTTCTTTCTGGTTTACTTCACTAAGCATGCTCCCTTCCAGCTCCAGCCATGTTGCTGCAAAAAGCATATGTTGATCTTTTTTGATTGCTGAGTAATATTCCATTGTGCATAGGCACCACATCTTTTTAATCCAATCATCTACTTGGGATTTGGGTTGATTCCATGTCTTTCCTATTGTAAATAAAGCAGCAATAAACATGGAGGTGCAGGTATCTTTTTGAATCAGTGTTTTTGTGTCTTTTGGGTAGATACCTTGGAGTGGGGTTGCTGGGTCACATGGACCCAGTTTGAGAAACCTCCAAATAGCTTTCCATAGTGGTTGTACTAGTTTGCATTCCCACCAGCATTGCAGTTGAGCTTTTTCTTCACATCCTCGCCAACATTTGTTGTTGCCAGTTGTTTGAAGATGTGCCATCCTCACTGGGGTGAGGTGGTATCTCATTGTGGTTTTAGTTTTCATCTCCCATATTACAAGTGATGCTGAACATTTTTTCATATGTTTATTGGCCATCTGCATTTCCTCTTTGGAGAAGTTTCTTTTTAGCTCTTCTACTCATTTTTTGATAGGGTTGTTTATTTTTGTAGTAGCTCACTATTTTTTTAATCAACTTAATTACCAGTCCTGTTTTGATCAGATAAAAAAAGCTTTATCCTATGTAAAATGCTAACTGTAAAATATGCTAATGGGGTTGGAAAGATTATAGTTAGACTCTTTACTGGATAAAAGGGATGTGTGTGTGTGTGTATGCATGCTTTTATCTGATAAAATAAATGAATGAACAGGAGTATAGACATTTCTTTGGTCTACCAGAGTGTGACAGTTTGAAATCCAGTTCTCTGTAATCTCATTTGAGTAATTGGTATAGCAAAATTACTTCTGCAACCAATGGTATTAGTAATAGTAACTATTTTATATATATTCTAGTTATTTAAAGAGTCTAGGGTAGTATGGGCTAAACATGCTCAATTAGAAAATCAGTTTATAAAGTAATGAAATAGTTAATTGCTAAAATTAAAAGAGTTCCATTGAAAATAAGTGTCACCTAAAATTTTTGTATTATTAAAAGGGAAAAAATACATAGAAATGCAAATTTTACCTATAGGGCACAGGTTTTTTTTTTTATGTATAATAGTTTATTTTTTACATCATTTTGTACAATTTTTTTTTTTCATCTCAATTGTAATCCCCATGGGTTTCCCATCACCAAGTCACCCGGGCACAGTCATTTTTAATTGAAAGTAACCCTGTGGCATATATTAATAAAGTGTAGAAATAGTTTATACCTAAATGTAAATTTGTAGGAAGAGAGCTATAATTTTATTAAATGTAATCAAATTTTATTTCTAGATTTTTTTTCATTTTCTATTAATATGTATTGACTAGCAAAAAGATTAATATAGCAGTAAATTTAGAATGCAAACTTTCTTATTTCAAGCTTTGAAGGTGAAATACATGTAACAGAGCCTAGCACATAGTCAGTTTTATAGATGTTTAGTTTTTGGTGTACGTTTTTTTTTCCCTATAATCTGCATACCTTGTTAATGAAGAGTATAGGTTTGGGGGCCAGAATACTCAAGTACCACCTACTACTATTGTGTGTTTCAGTTTCCTTACTTGTTAAAATGGAGGTAAATAATAGATTCTTTATGGTTTCTGAAAATTCAGTCAGTTAATATATGACATTTAATATAATGGCTGACATCAAAATGCTATGGATTTGTTGTTATATGCAGTTCAGAGAAAAGTTTTTTCATCTTTACAATTTTAAATGAAAGAAAGTGAGAAAGTATTATACTGGGCCAAGCATTTGAAACATATTTTATCTTTGTCTGGTAGATTGTTCTTAAAATACATACATTCCCTTTTTCCAACCCTTGAAGGAACAGTTTGTCTTATTTCTTTTAGACCTATAATTTCTTGTGACCGCTGATTATATGCTGAAGCTATCTAATCAAATTGATGTGCAATGAACCTAACTAATTCTTGATCTTAGTAAGCAACCTATATTAAATGTCAGGTTATCAGAACATTTATTAGTCTATTTTTTAATTTACTAATTGCTATAAAATGCTCACATTTACACTAAACCCCTTAATGGAGCTAATAACAGATTCGGTCGTCCTGGAGTGGAATGTTATTGCCAGCATGACAGTGGGGCTGCAGTGATCCAGCTCCAGTTCCTGATTAACGAGGTGAGTAAGTTGCTTTCATCTTTCCTGCCAACGTGTGAAATAGGGCCACTTCTCATATATTTTGTCCAGATTTCTTGTATTGAAATAGTTGAATGAAAGTATTTCATAGAGATCAGACATTGTAGTTACTTTAAGATGATACCATGGGCAGCTACATAAATAATATTTCTCAGAACAGTGTTGCAAATAGGTAAGCCTTTCTCTTTTTTGATACAAGGTGCTGCATTTTTATTTTATTTCAAAATTTTGAAAATTGTACTTAAAAACATGACATTTAGCATCTATATTAATTTTTTTTCAAGATTGAGCTTACAAATAGCAAAATGTAGTATAGTGTTTTCCAAAATAACCATGAAACCAGAATCCATTAGAAAATTGGTACTGTCCAGAGTTTCTTCGTGTCACTATTGGTTATAGTATTTGAAAAGTATACAGTATGGAAGGAGCTAGAGAAAGTACCATTTTATCAGCAGAGGAAGTAATGCTTTTTTAAAAAACTTAGCAGCTCTGAGAATGGATGTTTACTGAAAGTTGTGACAGGCAGGAAAAACTGATTATAGAATGAAGAAAGAAAAGTCACTACAGAAAATTACCCTCTTTAAATCTGAGGAGTTGGTGGACATTCTCATTGCCCCTAAGAATTTGGGATCCATGAAATAAATTCCTAAATGTGTATGTAAGGAAAGTGTCAATATCTTCGACTTTTGATAAATGTTTTGTTTGTTGCTGTAAACTGAACTGGTTGTACACAGTTAAAGATGATAATATAAAAAATCCTGTGAAACCTCAAACAATGTGTGAAGGTCAAAGCAAATGTTTCTCAAAAATGTCATTATTCAGTACAGAATATATATTAGGCACTGTAAATGCTAAAAACAAAAACAAAAACAAAATCCCAGTATGAAATTGAGAACTTGATTATTTTTCCTATCTGATTTTTTTTCATGATTAGATAATTAGATGCATAGTAAATTTCTAAATAAAGAGGTCTGTTGTACTCTTCTCAGCTTCTTCCTATACACACACACACACAGCTTCCCTTTATGTATGGTAGTACATTATCAAGCCAGGAGAATGATGTCAATGCATTACTACTAACTAGATTACAGACTTAGATTTCACCAGGTTCTTCATGCATTCTTATGTGTGTATGTAGTTTTTGCAGTTTCATCACACGATTAAATTATACTACCAAGAACAATATACAAATCGGTAGATCATCTGGATAAAAGAATTCCCTATCCCTAAGTCCTGGCAATGTTAACATAAACTTCATCTTAAGACTTGTGTTAATCTGTTAAGATTACTATTTAAAGTAATAAACTAGTCAATGTAAATAACACTGCAAATTGATTGCCTAAATTTTAGAAACCTTTACATATGCTCTCATTAATCATAACAGATTTTGTTCTCTTTAGTAGGATTTATTATAGAGTTCTTTGAAATAACTTTTATTTTACAAGGTTTTAAATACTACATTTAAAGTACTTTTAAGTGATGTTGGTTTTTAACAAAATAAAAGGGATGACTGGAAATTTGACAGATGGGAGTAGCATTTGATTTCCATTCTGAAAAACTTTGGATAGGTAAGGGGGCCCACCTTAGAAGGAGGTCAGCTGTTACTTCTGAGTCTTCTTCCTTGAAATTTTAAGATGAGAAGATAACAGAGTCTGAAACTGCAGTGTAAACTAGAATGAAAGATAAACTGGATCTTTCGAGTTCCGTTACTTTGAAATGGTAAAAAGACGCTTTGTAGTACAAAGGAGAATAGGTGAGCTTCATAAAGTTCTGCTTTACAATAGTGATATTGTATGTACCAACATGAGTTACACGGCAAAACAGTCCACACAGCATTTTGAAGATGCAGTATACTTGGAGAGATCATTTAATGTAAATTTTATCTTCAGAGTTGTTTTAATCCTCTCGTATAAGTGAGAAGCTCTCATGTTTAGAAGGGGGAGATTTAAAGATGTCTCATAATAGTCTCTAAAGCAATCTTTTTAAAAATTAATATGTATCTTTGTGTTATATCTAGGGCCTTATTCTCTTAGTGTACATGAACTGTCTAATTCCTTTAAGGTAAAACATATTTATAAGTTTTAATAAATCTTCCTTAGTCTAGAGATTCTGAATCTGTTCTCATATCCGAATCACCTCTGACACCTACACTGGTTCTTATTCAGAAAGTTCTTATTTATCAGCACTGTGGTGACACTGAATGCCTGTGTGATTTTCTACTCCACACTTGATGATATTTAGTTATTTTTATTTAATATTTAGTTACTGTTGTCCGATGTTTTAGCTTTTTAGAGTTTTTCAAACATTTGGATATTTTGAAGTTATAGTGGCTAAATGATGTCTTTTTAACTGTATCATTCCAGTACTAGAATTATCATCAGATCATAATACATGCATAAGGATTTGCTTTTAAACTAGATAAAGTGGGAATTTTTTCCCCCATATCATATTTTACTTTGTTAAGGAAATATACACTATAGTTACCAAGTAACTTACCATCTCACCTATAACTTTACATATCTAGATATCAATCATAATATCCAGTTGGATTCTGGTGTACAATTAGTTTTAGATATTAAATATGCCTTTAAATGTGAAGATATTAAAGTAATTTTTACCTACACAGACACAGATATGTATATGCACTGTGCTGTTTAGAATTTGGGTGAAGTCTGTATTTCCCTAAATCTATTGACAGGAAGTTTTAAATTTGCGAAGGAGACTTTTGACAGCCCTTTAGTGATTTATAATTGTAAAAATGTATTTTGTGTGAAATACACTTTATTTTCAGGGAGCTCTTGTGAGTGCCTTGGCTGATGACACCTTACATTTATGGAATTTACGTCAAAAGAGACCTGCCATATTACATTCACTTAAATTTTGCAGAGAAAGGTAAGAATTCTCTCATTTACCCTATATGTAGGATATTTGCTATTCTTTTCTGAAACATTTTCTTTGAATTTTATTACTTTAAATACTTTTTTTGTGTGACTTTATTCAGTCTAAATTTCAAAAACCTGGAAGGATATATAATGAAAAAACAAGTTACCTTTCTTTTCAGACCTAATTTCTCTCCAAGGGCAACCATATAAATGTCTTGTGTCCTTTTACAAATAGCTGCGGTTTGTATGCATAGCATATAGAGGTATATAGAAAATTCTTAAAGACACTCTGTCTTAAAGTGATAATTTTGTAATTTATGATCTATATTAACTAAACCAGAGATTTTACTTAGCTAGTCTTTCTTTACAAAAGCAAGTGATAGAAAAGGAAAATTGTTATAGCCAATGCTATTACCATACAAAATTATTTAAATTATGGATAACTCTGAGCTAGATATTAGTACTAGATACCTTCTCTCACTTTAAACATTATATGTTTTAAGACTTTATATGTAGAAGTCATTTTTAAGAAATGATACAGGGCCCTCCCTGGTGGCGCAGCGGGTTAAAGCATGGCACTGAGAGACTAAAGCCACTTCCACATGACTTCGATTCCCGCCTGCCCCAGAGGTGACCAGATGGCGCGGCAGACCTCTCCTGACCCGCCCCCTGCTCCCCTCATCAGTGTACTTCGTTGATCTGCCTGTTCTGCTCCCCACTCTGTCTCTGGTGAAGCCTCTCACTGCCCCTGAGCCTCTGGCCTGTACCCCAGTTCTGTATGCATAAATAAATAAATCTTAAAAAAAAAAAAAGAAATGATACAATCTAAAAATGTTTTGTAATTCTTAGCTAAAGGAATTGTATTGGGTTGTTGCCATACCATATCACACAGTAGGTGACTTAAACAACAGAAATTTATTTCCTCTTAGTTTTGTATGTTAGAAATTTAAGATCAAGATGTTATTTGGTTGTTCTTGTGTTTTGTTTTGTTTTTTAATGACCTACACTTTGGCCATCATCTTATCTCTCTCCCCTCTGTGATATCTGTCCTGATTTTCTCTTATAAGGGCATCAGACGTAAAATTAACTATACTTCCTTTAAAGCTACTTGTTTTTCTTTGAGTACTTTATAGTTTTTTTCCAGGAATCTGATTTGTAGCTCTTTCACTTGTGACAGATGTGTTGATTAGATTTAGAGAAAAAAATAAGCCTGCATTCTAAACCAGTGTTTGTAAAACACAGTGTGATATGAATACATAGTAATAAGTATTTCATCCTAACCTTTGTTAAAGAAGAATTAATATCCAAAAGTCTTCTTAGAAAAAAGAAAACTGTTTGACAGGTGGTGTAATTCTTCAGCAGCAAGTGGGAGATTTGCAACTATAAGGTGCTGTTGAGCTGACTGCTACCAAGCGCCAGGTTTCCTCAGTATAAATAAATGCTCATAGAAACAAACACTAATTTATCCTTTTATTATGATTGTATAATAGTATGATTTTTATCTAAACACTGCGTTGCATATTTACGAAGTATCTAATTTGCCCAATATGCACATGAACTGGGCACAACTGTAAAAAGAATATTTGGGTAGATAGGTAGCAATCCTCAAAAAACCTATATAGGTCTTGCAAAGGTTTGAATCAGTAACTACCCTATTTAACAAGAAAATGAAATCACAATATTGAAGCAAATTAAAGACCTAGAATTATAGTAGTAATTCATCATACTGGCAAAATATTTTTCTTTGAAAACTGTGTAATGAAAAACATACAAGCATTAGAAATGATAGTGGCTTGGCAAGATGAAATTCAGAACTAGTACACAGGAACTAAGTGTTACCCAGATCTGTTAGAAAAGCAGACAAGAATGTGCAACTGTGGATACCTAATTGTGATCCACCAGGAAAAATGATTGGTGATAAGGAAAAGGTATGTCAACTAGGCAATTCTCAGTGTAGAGAACCATACCCTGAGTCAGGTTATAAAGGAGAATTCTCTAGAAATGGAAAAGAATCACTATTTATGGATCTTGAGACTATAAAAGAAAGATGGTCAGAAAGTGTTGGATAACTTAGAACAAATTAATCCATAATAATTAAGAAATTCTGATGACAAATTTGAAGAGATATTCAGTGATACTGTTGATCTAGTTGGTCTACAAGATCTAGGGCCTCAATATGGTTAGGTGCAAAAAGAATGGGATGTTTGACCAAAATTGAATGTCAGAGTAATTTATCTCTACTGATCATGTGAAAGCACAGTGATCTAAGCCTTGTGAAAAATAATAAAGACACAATAATGAATGAAAGTTCATTTTTTATATTTAGGGCAAGAAAATTAAATAGATTAATGGTAGAATTAGGGTATCTGTAATTGCTCTTACTGCATTAATGCAATACAAGCTCAGGCAAATAGTGTCTCGGACAGCTGAAAAATTGACTTCTGTGCAATTACTGGTTGCCCTAGGAGTAACAGTGGAAATAGTGCTTCATGTTTGGAAGTGAAAAAGAATACATTTTAAAAGATATGTTTAAAATAATACTAACAGAATTCAGGTGAACATTGGTGCCTTCTCTGTGCCAGAGATTACACTAGGTGTTGTGATAGCAAAGGTGAATAAAGTGTGTGAACAGCTTGTGTTAGAGCAGAAGCCCAGACATTTAATAACTGTTACAGATATGGGTGTCATTTTAGACATTTGTTAAAAACTCATGACAGAATAATTAATTCAGTCTTTTTCAATTTGATTTTTTTTAAATATAGTAACTTCTTTTACAAAAGAATTCACACTAAAACTACAACCATGCATGTGAAACTATTAAAACTTCTGAGCACCTATATTGTTGGGATTTTAAGAGTTATGACCGCTTTGGGAAATGTTTTTTGCAGTGTCCACCTACTTCATGATCTAACCATGTTTGTGGTTAGGCATACTCTGATATTGGTCCTGAGACTTTTGCTCCCTGGTGTATACTTAATCCTCCACATTCAAACCAAACTCAACTAGAGGAAGGCATTTTGTAGAGGTAACTGGGCTCCTAGGTATTTGACCATAGCATATGGAGATTTTCCTCAGTAGGCGTGACTGAATCAATTGGACATTTAAATGGGACTGGACTTTTCCTGGAAAAAGGGTCCAGATCTGAGAGGCTTTTAGTGTAGGGGGACTTGGTCTGACAGCCCTAAGAAGCTGAATTGCATTAGTAGCCTGAGATGCCTTGAGAGATGACTCTCTCCAGTGGCCTGGCAGATACCTGGGCTTAATCCTCCCAAGGCCAAGTGGAGATCCCAGTAATGCTGTGTCTGGACTTCTACCTACAGAAACTGAGCAAACAGATGGAGTCTTGCTGTAAGCCATTACATTTGTTGTGATTTTTATACAGTAACAAATAAATAAATAAAGATATTGGCACCTGAAAGCATGTTTAAAAAACATCCAAATGAATTTGAAGATAGACTTTACTCAGTGATTCATGAATTGGGCAGTATCCCATTTATTTAGCAAGGAGAAAGGCACTAGGAGGAGTTGTACAAAATAGAAGGATTTTAGAATCCAAAAAATTGTGGGACAAGGTTATTAACCAAATAAAAAGTAATTCAGGCAAAGCCACTTTTCCTGTAGTGGACAAGAAGTCTTACGTAGATTACCTGTTAGTGCTGGCTAGGAAATGCCAGATAAATTCATTTAAAATTCCTCTGAGGGGGAGACTGTAACACCATGAGGTCCGGTGTTACATGTTGGTGGGACTTGACATAACTGATTCTACTTTGAATCTATTGTTTTACTCTGTGCAGTAACAATGACCCCCCCCCCACCACCACCAAAAATGTGAAATTGCTTTGAAACCTGGTAGAAGAATTTTGAACAGCATAATGGAAAAGCTTAAATTGCTGGACTCTGGACTTGGCTACAGCAATGAAAGCTGAGAAGGGAGAGACAACCATGTTGGTGGAAACTGGTGGTTTCTTCTTCTGTATCAGAAAACTTGACAGAAGTTCTTTTGTGCAGTGTCTTGAGTGATAATCGCATGCATATTTAGCTATACTACCTGTAAGTGATTGATACAGACATTTAGTTGAGGAGATTTTCAAGGACAGGAGTGATCTGACCTTTTCTTGCTGTTCCATTTACTGTAAAAAGCAAGAGGAGGGACCTTCCTGGTGGTGCAGCGGGTTAAAGTACAGCACTAAGAAGCTAAAGCCACTTCAGCATGAGTTCGATCACCACTCCTGAGGTGATCCACATGGCGGCAGACTTCTCCTGACTCGCCTGCTGCTCCCCTCAGCAGTGCACTTCGTCATTCGGCTTGTTTGCTCTCCACTCTGCCTCTCGTGAATCCTCTGACCACCCCTGCACCTCTGGACTGTACCCCAGCTCTGTATGCATAAATTAATAAATCTTTAAAAAAAAAAAGGGGGGGGGCTGAGAACTGAGATCCACAGAGGCTCACTGTCAGACCCTGAAACCTAAGTACAAGTGATCCAGTCCCCAACTTGATTTCAAAATCATATGGGCCAACTAAACTCCTTTATACCTCCTACTTTTCCCTACTTTGAAGAGGAATTTCCTGGTGGTGTTGAGAACAGACATTTGTCTCTTTAATTTTGTATATCCACAGTTGGGTGGCATTGTGCCCACAAGTCTTATTTAATAGGCTACATTCAAGACTCTGGTCTTCAACAAATTTAAATAATGACATTTTAGTAAGATTATGGACTTGCATTAATATTTTAATTGGTCAAGACTGGGAAATTTTGGAAAGTTGAGAAGACGAGACTGTTAAAGGCATAATTCTAAGTCCCCAAGATTTATGTCTCTTGGTATACATACACCTCCTAATTATTTAGTCAGTTCTAATTGCAGATGTAATTGAGATTTCAAATCATTTGACCTTCATGCACAGAGTTTTATTTCTTTGGTTTTAGGTTTTTTATCACTTAATTCACAGTGGCAGCAAATGAAGTCACTCTGGTCAGCTTGACTTGATTTTGGAATACAGTGTGGTTTGTG